GAAAACTGCTGGGATGTTTTCATAACTCATTTATGGGTAAAGAGCTATTGGTTCAAGTTGTGTTGATTTGACTAAATTTTGTGTCAAAAAGTTGGACCCAATCGTTGAGTTGAAGAAGGGCCAAGTTGTTCTTCGGTTTGCCATTTTAATCCAGAATCAAAGCAAACCTGATTGGYCCTCTGCTTTAGGATGTAACAAGTAAAACTGAGATAGTAAAAATAACTTGTAATAAGATACTATATTTAAATTAGTTGGTTTTGTAATAACTTCTGTTTAAACTAAATCAGGGCTTTTCGCTGGCATCAAGGACCACATCCAGCACACAGGTGAGCTCAGTCCGGCCCAGCTACATCAAACTGAGATATACTGTATAATAATTGAGTTACTATTTGTAAATCCTCTTTTTAGTGGCTCTAATTTAACAAAATTGTAATTTTTAYCAGTTTTTGTTTAGAAAACTTATCCCAGTAGGTTATGTTGGATTGAAATGATGTTGCTGAGTAAAAAACCACCCAGAGTTGGCTCAGTCCAAATGTAACCAATAGCACTGCTGTGGCAGAGTGGTTAGGGGAGTTGTCCTGGAACTGGAAGGTCACCGGTTCGATCCCCTGTCCAGCTGTCTCAGTTGTTGTGTACTTGGGCAAGACACTTAACCCCAATGCCTCTGATGTGTGTCCCATCAGTGTATGAATGTGATTGGCACTGATTAGTCTCCAGATGATTGTACATGTTAGCAAGAGTGCTGTGTAAATGAGGACACAGAGTGTAGTGTGAAGTGCTTTGAGTGTCCTGGTTGGGTAGAAAGGTGTTACAGTCCATTTACCACTTGTTTACAAATTATGTCATATTTTAATCCAGCAGTTTTCAATGCATAGTAACATATGAAGGGTGGAAGTTTTTTATGCGCTCATGTGCAATACAGTGTTAATCAAAAGCTGCTCAAATTTTACGTTAGTTTGAAATGCACACAGATTTCTTAAAATAAAATATATTTTCACATTTATTGTGATTTTTAAGCAAACATAATCTTTAAAAAGGTTCTCTGTTATTTAATGTATTTTCCTATCATTGTCAGGGCCAGATCCTGTTTTATGATTTTTTTTTTCAAGCTGTCCCTGAAGGCAACATGCTCCCTCACTTGATTGTCTGCACCTGGGGGTGTCTGTWTACCTGTTTCCCCTAATTCAGTTATCCCTCCTCGTATCTGCAATATGTCCTCGATAAACACTTTCACACTATAATTTAAAGAAGTCAAAGCAAAATAATACTTTGCCAATTTCACTTAGGGACGAAAATACATTGTTTACGATTAAGAGATCAACAAAACCTAAATTTCGTTTTAAATAATACAGAAAATACAAATAATGCTGACATGATCAAATTGTGGCGACCCCAACTTCAGGTGGTAGGTCAAACACGTGTGACATGCAGGCTGATTCAAAAACACTATAAAGATATTTCAACAAAACAAAGCAGTAATTTTAAATGAAWGTTAAGCAATGGTCTCATGTTTTTCTTTGACTCATCAATCTAGTTGGTGTTGAGTGAGAGTTTGTTTTTCTTGCAAATTTGTACTATGCATCAGATTTGAAGAAGAGCAGATTATTCAGTCTCAACAGCAGAGTAACTGTCCTGGTTTAAATGTCTGCTTACAGTGCAGRACAGTTTGACGTCTTGTTTCATAACTGTTACAGGAAATGAGTTGAACTTGCGTTACTTTCAATATTCAACCAGGTGATCTACAGTGACATAAAAAATGTGGTACTGTATAAATAGACATAATATGAAGGAGTGAAAAAACGTTGATTGCATCAAATATTCCTTATAAAAGAAATACTTAAACCAGAATAAACATAGGTGATGTATGTCCTGATGCGTCTCAGTAATCCAGGTGGAAAAATCAAAAAGAAAAATAAGTAGGTCCTCTGGACGGGTTCTCCTTTAGTGAAACGTTTCGTCTCTCCTCCAAGAGGCTTCTTCAGTCTGACGAGTTTCAGGTGAACTCTGCCTTATAAGCACTGCCACATGGTGGACAAACAGGTTGGTCACAAAAGAGTACCATCAGCCAAACAATAGGTCGTTAGTGCCTTGATTAGAGGGTCATATGCTCCATCACCTGACTATTATTGGGGTCCTGAATCACACCTTTTGCTCCCAGGGGGCGGAGTCATACTTGCAATAACAGCGTTGTAGGAGGAGGACAACTGGACACGAAGGCCTCCACCTCTGTTTAATGTTGGACGGATTTTCTTCACAAAAAATGGCTTCTTTTACTCCTCTCTCAAACCAACGTTCCTCTCTATCAAGGATGAGAACATCTCCATCCCTGAAAGAGTGCTGCTATGTCCATTTGTCAATTAAATTGCAAGACAAAGTGTCATTTAAAAAACAGCAAACAGACCCATTGTATCAAAATAGATGTAGTTTAATTTATTTTGTAGTCAGATTAATACATTTCAGTTCAGATCTAACACAGTACCATCATTAGATTATTAAAAGCCAATAGAAATTAAAAAGGAAACCAACAATCTGCATCAAAGCTTTATTTCCTTGTGATCCCCCCATCCTAAGCAGGCGCAATGAGGGGGACGARGGTGGAAAGGAATGACTCCTTTTTACCAGGAAGAAACCTCAAGCAGAACCAGGATTTCCTTTTTATTTGGATTTTTTTCATTTAATTTAAAACTAAATATAGTTGAGGTGACTCAGGCATCTGGTTAGGACACCTCCTGGACACCTCCCTGGTGAGGTGTTCTGGGCACGTCCCACTGGGAGGAGGCCCAGAGGAAGACCCAGGACATGCTGGAGGAACTATGTTTCTTGGCTGGCCTGGGAACTCCTTGGGATTCCCCCAGAGGAGCTGGTCCAAGTGGCTGGGGAGAGGGAAGTCTGGGTCTCTCTGCTTAGGCTGCTGCCCCCGTCACCCGACTCCGGATAACAGGAAGAAAACAGACGAACAATAGAAGAAAATATATATATACAAAATAAATAAAATGAAAGGGATCAGAAAGAATAAAAAAATCTTATAATATCTGCCCCCTTTTTAAAACAAAAATAGTGATTTACAAAAATAAAATAAAATAAAATAAAATAAAGATCAGCGTTCTGCATCAAACAGCTGGGGGTGTCAGGGCAACATTTCATTAGTTTATTCACTATTTGAACATGAAACATGTTTTGGTCATAAGTAAAAATGCTATTTGTGCCCCATCAATAATTTAGAGTTCGCATTTTTTGTGAATTTACTACAAATGTAACATTTCATGTTCCACGCCCCCAGGACTCTGCCCCAGTAATCACAGCTCATCTGACCCACCTGTTCCCACCAGTACAGTATATAAGCTTCACAGCCACAGTCACTCACTGACAGATTATTGAATGGTTCACACCCAGTAAATGTCCAGCACTCTTTCACAGTTCTTGATCCCCACACCGGCCTCTCGACTCACCGACTTTGCCTGCRACTGRTTCGACCTCTGACCACCGGCTCTCGACCTTGTTTCTGTCACCTGGACCTCACCCCCTGGATCATGGCTTAGATTTGTCTACTGCTCTCAGACCACACAGATTTGACCTCAGCCTGTCTCARGTGATATGGAACTAAGCTTTAACCCTCAAACCACAGGAAACAGCCTCCTTACCTGGATCTGTTGAGCTTCTTCTCTGCACCTCCAGAAGGTTAGCTGCATTTTGGCACGACCTCATTGTTTGTGGCTCCATTCTCACTCTGGTTTGTTTTCCAGAGTGTGCGGTCCTGAGGTTCTGGCTCCTGTCCTTTCTTTGCCATTTTTAAATAAAGCATTTAAATCTTTATTGTGTCTGCGTGCTCAGAATCCTTCCCACGCTCGAAACTGTTTTCAGAGTAGGAAAAAAATAGGTTTGTTTTTATTGACCTTTGTTTGTTCTTGTGGTAACTTTGGAGCACAAAGGTAAAGATCTGGATGGCTTAGTGGCGGAAACATTTTTCTGTGGGGTGTTTTTTACAGGTAAGTATGAGGAAGTCAAAACATGTTCTCAGCAACATTTTCAAAACTCACTTGAGTTATTGTTCATCCTTGCAGGCTGGTGTAACTCAGTTTGTTTTGTTTTTTCTCTTGGAGCTCAGGCTGTTCAATGCAGGCCATTAAGTGTGTGGTGGTGGGGGACGGGTAAGTTCTTTTAGGTTTTTATTCTTTCTTCAGTCTCTACAGTTTCATAGTTTGACACATAGATTAACAAAGTAAAGTTAAAAAAAATACGACAAAGAAGAGACTGACAGCATTTGGATCAGCATGCTTCTAATCCTCGAACAGTTTTGTCAAACTTTTAAACATTTTAAAAAAACATTTCTTAGTGACCATTCATGACCATTATTTGTGTAAATTTCAAACTTTTAAACTTTTTAAACCCCAGTCTTCCAGTTTTTAAATGCCTACTTAGTCACAGAGTTGTCGTACTGTAAGTTAAAACCAAACTTGTTTAGCCAGAAGTTAATTAAAGCTTTGCTCCAGGCAGGAAATGTTTTACACTTACAGTAAATTGTTCTAATGTCTGCCAAGTCATGGTATTGATGGCATTAGACATTTTTTTCCATCCCATAAATGTACACACACACACACACACACACACACAAAAAAAAAAAAAAAACAACAACCCAGCTTTGTTCAAACCATAAAAATAAAACTGACAGCTGACCTACACTGTCTAAACCAGTGGTTCACAACCTGTTTACTTTGACAGGAATGATTTTGGCTTTCTGCCTGTGTTGACATTGTACACCGTTTCCTGTGTAATAATATTGTAATCTTGTGATTCATTAGAGCTCATGTGTTGAGTGTCTCTRAGCTACTGCCACATCAAACTTTAATACAAGCGTTTTACAGACTTTGAAACAAAAACTGCATCAGGGCCATCGTTTGAACATTTACGTTGATACTTTGTTTGTTTCAATAAACTTTATCATGATTATCTGTAAGTTTGACAGTTGTTATACTGTGTAAATTAGCTGAATTAGAAATCTAGAACTTGGCTGACTCTAAATTTGCTGTAGATGTGCGCAAAATACTTTCAATTTCATTCAGTTTTGTCTGTGTTGCAAACACAAACACACTAACACACACAAGCAAAACCATTATTAACCATTAAAATGTTGAGTTTGACTTTTTTGAACGCAATGTTATAAAAATAGTTATTTACAAATACAATTAAAAGCAAAAGAACAGTAAAGTATATTTACATGTTCAAAGCTGTGGATAAAAATATAAACTTTTTTTAAACTCAACCTTCTTCCAGCAGCATCATCCAATAAATTACTTTCATGTTAATTTGGTTATAAAATTCATTCTTTAGTAGTTTCAATATCCATATCTATGACTGGTATGCATTCATATTTACAGACCATTACGAGCAAGAATCCATACATTTGAACATGTTAAGTCTTTCTACATTAATGTACCATTTATTTTACCATGAGGAAATAATTTTCAACTTTAAGTATTAACATTGATAATAGCAGTAATCACAGTAATTATTTCTCATATTGATGTGCTGTGATTACCATATTTTTCCATGACATTTTATATTTGGACATTGCTTGATCTCCATATATTGTTACCATGAAGACACTGAGACAAACCACAGGTCAACGCTGGCTGTCATCCTTAGCACTCTCTCCCTCGCCTCACATGTCAATAATATCACTGTCAGCTTCGAAATATTCATCATCTCTGCTCTTCTCTCACTCCTCACTCCACTGCTGTTCTGGTTCGTTGTCTGGTCACCTCCTGTTCAGACTACTGCAATTCTCTTTGGCCTTCCACAGAAAACCCTCCATAAACTATAACTGGTTCAACACAGACCCCCTCAACCCATCACATCACACCTGTTCTATAACAGCTCCATTGGCTTCCCATTCCATYTCGCATCAACTACAAAATACTTCTTACCTTCAAAGTTGTAAACAACCTCGCCCCTCCATATCTCTCGAACCTCCTTCACATTACTACACCTGCCTGTACCCTCAGATCATCTTCTTCTATTCACCTCACTCTTCCCCCTGCCCGTCTGGTTACTATAGGGAGCATTCAGCCGCTCTGCCCCCCAGCTCTGGAWCTCACTCCCACCTGATCTCTGTAACACAAACTCATGGCCACATTTRAAATCCAAACTCAAAACTCATCTGTACTGTGATTGCAACTGCACTGTTTCTTAACTTTTGTACTTATCTTACTGTGTGTATTTTAATTTTGTGTTTGTTTTTATGCTAAACTATGTAACCTTGAGTGTCAAAAAAGATGCCCACAAATGAAATGTATTATTATTATTATTATTATTATTATTATTATTATTATTATTATTATTATTATTATTATTATTATTATTATTATTATTATTATTATTATTATTAATTCTCTTGCTATTCCCTCGTGTTTCCTCTCAGGGCTGTAGGTAAAACATGTTTGCTCATCAGCTACACCACTAATGCCTTCCCTGGAGAATACATCCCCACAGTGTGAGACTCACACACACAACTCATCACCAGTTTCACTATGTTTCTACTTAGTAAAACAAGTAAAACAATATGAATTTGTTTTAAAAACCACTTTTACCTGACTTCCTTCAGCTTCGACAACTACTCTGCCAATGTTATGATTGACGGGAAACCAGTGAATCTGGGTCTGTGGGACACAGCAGGACAAGAGGACTACGACAGACTAAGACCCCTGTCCTACCCACAGACAGTAAGAGGACATACAGACAGGAGCACTGTCTTTAATTTGACAAGTTACTCTCTGGAATCCAGTGTCTTGCTTTATAGACTTGTAGATCCAGTTCCTTTGAGGAGGCTTAAGGATGTTAAACACAGCTCATAAGAGCTGTTTTTACCCAACTACAATTCAGATTTGTTTGCATTAGTGAAGCTGTTAAACAAAGACATAAATATAAAGTACTACAAGCCAACTGTTTTGATAAATTTGTACAACGTGTTTGATTCTTTTCAATATCATATTTGTCTTTTCCTCCCTGTCAGGATGTGTTCCTGATTTGCTTCTCGATTGTCAGTCCAACTTCATTTGCAAATGTTAAAACCAAGGTAAGAACAACCAGTTTAGTATTCTCATTAAGGATCGACATTAATAAAAGCTGGAAAATGTTAACTACTACTTTGATAGGAATATTGTCCTTAATATATGATACGATACGATATGATGCAATACGATACGATATGATGCAATGCGATATGATACGATGCGATACGATACGATGCAATGCAATGCGATACGATACGATGCAATGCAATGCGATATGATACGATGCAATGCGATACAATACAATACAATGCAATGCGATATGATACGATGCAATGCGATACGATATGATGCAATGCGATACGATGCAATGCGATARGATGCAATGTGATACGATGCAATGTGATACGATACGATATGATACAATGTGATGCGATGCGATACGATATGATGTAATACGATACGATATATGATGCAATGCAATACGATACGCTACGATGCGATATGATACGATGCGATATGATACACTATGATGCGATATGATATGCTACAATGCGATATGATACACTATGATGCGATATGATACAATGCGATATGATACGCTATGATGCGATATGATACACAACGATGCGATATGATACGCTACGATGCGATGCGATACAATGCGATATGATACGCTACGATGCGATATGATACGCTACGTAGCGATATGATACACTACGATGCGATATGATACGCTACGATGCGATGCGATATGCCTAACTGACAGAAAAAGAATCTGAGTTTGTATCCGAGGCTGAACAATGCCAACTTCATGTAGTTGAGCTAACTTGCTGCTGTATAGAGGCTGGACACTCTTATGTCCCAGAAGGACAGGTGGCAGAGTTGTAAGAACACTCTCACAAGATGCCAGCTGATCACCTCAATGCTCTCCCAGATGAATGAAAGAAAAGCCTTTCTGCAGCTTCGAACTGCAAGAAGAACGGTTCTGATTGTTTGTGCTTTTATGCAAAAAATTAGTTCAGATTATAGTCTTCTTGGATGATGTAATGGTGTGGTGTCATTTTGACACTACATTGTCCTTGTTGGCAATGACAAAGAGGTGGGAATGCAAGGAAATGACTCCCAGATGCAAATTTGAGTGGTGCTTAGGTGTTGGACGTTCTTGTTTGGCATGGCATGTCCAAATGAACACCGTGGGTCTATTGTTTGCATTTGCTACCAGGCAACCATTGGCTAAAGGCTGATGAATTAGCCTTTGGCCCAATGGATYAAGAGAGGGATACAGCTTTCAAATGATCACTACCTGGTAGTGAGCTGGATCTGATAGCGAGGAAGGATAAAATCACAATCATGAGGGTGAACTGATAATGTCTGATGGAAGCCTCTGCTCYTGAGATCTTAAACACACATTTCTCAAGGAGGGTGGGCGCATGGAAGAGCTCACCAGGTCATTTGCACCTGTCAGGACGGCAGTGTTGAWGGACGTTAACCGCAGAGGAAGCTGTCGAGCGTAAGGAGGCTTTCAGGACTTGGCTGCCCTAGAAGACCACAGCACAGAAACAGAGCAGCCAAAGACTGCAGCTTCTGTGGTTGTAAAGGAGAAAACTCCAACATGAGAGACGTTTGAACAGGTCATGGGAAATAACTCTTGGTTATCCTCTAGTACGTTCTGGTAAATTGCTGGATAAATTGAAAAGGAAAGCAGAACCTGTTCCAAGGTGATATGGCTTATGAGGGAAAAAAAATTACTGAATAAAAGCGCCTGAAATAAAATTACTCCACTGGGTAAATAGGCTCAGCCTTAGAGYAAATGTGATGACCTCCTTCATCCAGGGTGGTCATTCGGTCATTCCGATGTCACCCTCTGGAAGGAGAAAAGAACAGCGCAGAACGTGCTGGAGGGAATATAGCAACCTTGGAGAAGCAACAGAAAATTAATAAACAAACAAAAAAAGCAAATATACAAAAAAATGTATAGAATAGACAACCAATGCATTCATGTTTTTGCTTATAGTAACACTTTAGCCACAAGAAAAAAAATTGGTGCTGCTCGTTTTCTGTCATTACTGCACTTTCTAATATGTCTGCTCCTCCTGCAGTGGAACGAAGAATTGAAACATCACTGTAAAGATGTGCCGAGACTCCTCGTGGGCACCAAGCTGGACCTGAGAGATGATGCGGAGGTTTTGAAAAAGCTCAAGGAAGATAATCTCTGTCCTGTCACCTATCCTCAGGGCTTGGCCATGGCTAAAGATATAGGTCAGTTGTAGCACCATGCGTGCACTAAAACATACCGGAATTAAAAATTCATTTTAAGGAAGGCTTAGAAAATAGGCTTTTTTTCTGTACTTGTAAAAAAACTAGCTGTAACATGTACACATAATCAGTCTCACATTTATATAAATAACACATCATCATTTTTTTTTAAATTATCAATGTTAGCTTTCCAAAAAAAGCATTCGTATTTATTAAGAATATTGGGGTCTGTAAGGTTTTATCTTGCTCATTCAAAAGACCTCTTTGGTCTGACTTCTTATGAGTTAAAGCGGCCTTCACTCATTCATCAGTAACCATATTTGTACAGTATCTAAACACATTTTAGATGGCTTACTAATTATTTTTATTTTGGTAACCAGGTGCAGTGAAATACCTGGAGTGCTCAGCTCTGACGCAGCGCGGCCTCAAGACGGTGTTTGACGAAGCCATCAGAGAGGCCCTGTTCCCCAAACCCGTAAATAAKAAGAAAAAAAAGAAGTGCACCATAATGTAACGAAGAAAAGGCTGGACGCAGCCAGAACTAACACACAACTACTCACCTCTACTGATCAACTCACAATTCATTTTCTGAAATGTAGGGAAAATTAACAGGCTTTCCAACTGTTTAAGGTTRATAGTCAAAAAGCACTTGTACAACAAAGAAATAATCAACCAAACAAATTMATTTACTTTTTGTGTGAACTTTAAGCAAAGATATGCAAATGTTTACAATGAATTCTTGCACAGACGGTGCTCATATTTTAAGTTTTCTACATTGTGCTAAATTTGAGCCTGTGTGGTAACATATGAAGGATTTAATGTTTTATGTGCAYCATAAAGTTAATCAAAAACTGCTTTATTTTAATTTGAAATGATCAAATATTGACTCTAAGTCAAACATTTTAAACAAGTTAATATATAAAAATAATGTTTCTTCTCGCACAGTACTGTAATGTTTTAAAAGCYAATAAAGTCATTATAAAGCTATTTTTACTTTATATATTGTACTCTTGATTCAAARGCATCTTCATTTCCATGTAACACATTCATTCAGTTGTTTGCATTTTGCATTAYGTGAAAACAACAATAAAACCTAAAATTCCAGTGAAAATAAATCAATAAAGAGGTAAATTTGTAACAGTGGAGATGCTGCAAACACAAACTCAGTGGTGGGATTTTCAGGTTGTCAGATAGTGTCCATGTTGTATTAGTCTTGATCATCTTGTGTGATTCTGTGAGGAATCAGAAACAAAGATAGAGTCAACCTRTCTGGGCTGTCCATTGGTCAAACACCAGCTTAGCAGACACCGCATCCTCTACTCCCATTCCTGTGAACGGAGAAAAGTCAAACATGTCCTGAGCGTTTTTCAAAACYTTTAATCAAATATGAAAAATATCTTCATCAGATATGTCCTACCAAGAGATTTGAACACAGTTATCTTCTCTCTGTAAGCAGCTTTTGTCCCGTTAATAACATCTCCGAGCTCTGCAAACACCTCGACCTGGAAACCAGAGACACGTGGCTGGTTAACTCTCAAGTGTTTTACACTACAAGTCATGAAACGTACAGTTCAGTCTTTAAAATGGGGGAAAAGAAAACAAACACACACTGACCCCAGAGAGGATGACATCACCAGACTCTGTCATCGCTCCTTCCCTGCTGTCGACGTAAACCACAGCCTCCTTCATCAGCACGTCATCCAGTTCCCGCCAGTCCGGCCTGCAGGCTCCCACCGCTGCTCCACAAAAACAAACACAATACTTACAGTAACAGGTGAGCACAACATGTTTGTGCATTGGATAGGTTCAAAAACCTCTGGTTTCTCACCGGCTACGTGAGCAGCTGGTTTGACCCACTGACCGAACAGAACCGGCTCAGTCGACCCAGTTACGGTCACTATGACATCTGCTCCCCTCACCGCCTCCTCCACCGAGCTGCATCCCTTCACAGCGCCTCCCACTGAGCGCCGAAACCTCTCCACTCCCTGGTTTGTCCGGCTCCAAACGCGAACCTAAGACAGAGCAACCAAGAATATCAAACAGTCTTAAAGTAAACACCAGTGTGGAGTATTAGCTGTTCTTTATTCCTACATTTAGCTGAGCTGATGGGCCAAGATGCTAAAACACACACAGTGTTGGGAGCATTTATTTATTAGCAATTATATTATAACTGTTTGCTTTCTAATAACGCAGCCCCAGTAAATAGTGTGTAGTTTCTAATATTGGAGTTCAACTATATTTACTCATTTTCTTGAGCTGCATCATCCAAAACAGCTAAAATGTTGTGTTTATAGCCAGTAGTTCCTGAACCTGTACCTCTTTAAATGAAAACATTTCAGTAAAGACACGGTAATGACTCAGAGCCTGTTTGCCAGTCCCCAGGATGGCCAAAACATCTGCTCCGGGGCACATCAGCAGCTGGATGGAAAACAGAGACAAACCAATAAACAGACTGACTAGATTATGAATAATACTGGAGAAATGACATTTTCTGCAAACATGCAGTGTGAGCTCGATGATTTCACTGCATTTAGCTGAAGAAGCTGAAACTGAGTCATTAAAGCTAAAAGAAAAGACACTTGAACCCTTGTTTAAAGAAGCAAAACGCTAACTACAAGCTAATATAGCAAAATATAGCAAAAAGCTAAAACTTGCAAAACATACCCTAAAAGCAGAAAAGCATTAGCTAAATGCTTAAGTAGCAAAAAGGTAACTAAAAACTCAAAGTAGCAAATTGAAGCTAAAGGTCACAAAAGGGTCGCTAGAAGATAAAGTAGTTAAAARTAGCAAAAGGCTAACAAGGAGGAAAGATAGAAAAAATATTTTGAGAAGCTAAAAGTAGCAAAAGTCTAAAATATCAACAAGATATCTAAAAATATAAAAGGTTGCCTAAAAGTATAAACAAAACAGCTAGCAGGTAAAATTAGTAAATGATTACCGGTAGCTAAATGTGGCAAAAAAAAGTTAGCTTCAACTAAAAGTAGTAAAAGGGTAGCTAAAACCTGAAAGTAGCAGAAGACAAAACTAGAACAAATTCGCTGAATCATATTTCAAATATAAAGTCTGAAGGGACTGAAGAGATTTGAATGCATTTTTGTTGGCAAAATAATTCTACGTAAAATTAAATGTTTTACAAAAGTTAGGAACACTGAATCACCTATCCCCCGAATGAGCTGAACAAGAAAAAAATWAAATAAAGTATTGCATGAATGGCTAAGTTAGTCCAAGGTGTACAGATGTACTTACTGTATATTACAAAAAAAATGAACATGGAATTTACTAAATAAACAAACACAAAAACAAACAGCAAAGAAGTTGTGCCTTAGCAGAGATAGCTGAGACTGCAGCGGTCCTCATGGCTGTGATGACCTCTCCATCCATGACCTGCAGGTTGGAAACAAACCATGACCGCTCTGAGTCAAGGTACTGAAACGCATTTCGTGGTTCTCTATACAATGASAAATAAACTGATTCTGATMCTCAAGCTGCTGCAGAAACTCCTGCTGTCATATTTAACTTACAGCCTTCACGTTGCCATATTCTGGATCCAGCAGCACCACAGTGGCTTGAACAGATGGCAAACTAGAGCCCTCCTCTCTTTTGTAGAAACATGCAAACTTTGTGGACAGGACMCCATCTTTCTCCATGTATGTAGGCATCAACCCCATGAACCTAAAGGTAAAAGTTCAAAACTGCTGTTTAATAATATAAAACCCTTCACATGTCATATTAAATTAAATGAAATGCAGCACTTATAAAACCTAATGCATCTCCTCTAACATCCACCAGGGGGTGCTGTGGCACCAACACAAGAAGCGGCTTTTACCCTCTGTGTTTCTGCAGTGGCACCGCGGTTCTCACAGGCTGGATCACTTCCGAACTGTCCCGCCTGGAAAACTTCCCCAAGGCGTCTTCCAGACGGGGAATAAGGTCTTTGCACCGTAGGAGRTGTGCGACCTCCTGCTCCCATATGACAACAGGAGGTTCGGCCATGCCTTCTGTTCCTGACAGTCTGAGCAGAAAAATGGAGCAGTGCGTCCAAAGTTCGACACTATCCAGATTCCCGCGTTGCATTCAAGTGCTGCAGGAAAGTTTGAATTCTCCTTGTCATGCTGTGTTAAATGTACCCAGTGTAAAGCATTATTCGATAACCCTTGCCGGTTTTATTTTGATAGTGAACAGTTATTAGTTTCATACAAGCATCTGTCGCATTTATGTTAAGTTTAACAGAGTTAAACTTTCTACAATTCATTCAGTTGACGCCGAATAGCAAATTACAGCAAATAATTCCTATTTTCAATATATATCAACATTTACCAGGTTGGTTCAAGTTAGTTTACTTTGTCATCTAACGAGGTCAAGTTTGTTCCAGTTTGTCTTAAAAAATGTTTTAAATTAGTTGGTTTCCCTTTGTTTTCCTTTTTTAAGACGATTATTTTTGGATGACTGTACCATAAAACACACCAGAAAACAGGTTATCTATAAATAAGCTTAGAAATTAACCAGAAATAGTCTTCAGGATGTTGATCCTAAACTCAAATGACCCAATAGAAAATAAAATGAACCCGAAGACATCTAAACCCAACATAATTGAAAATCCAAGTAGCAACTATGGAATACCCAATAATCTGAACTAATCCTGAACTTGTTTTGTATAAACAAAAAATGTAGACTTTCAACGTTGTTGGGAATTCACTTTTGTTTAACAGATTTCCAAAACAAAATATAAAATATAATTAACTTTTGAGCAGCACTAATAC